TTCCTAGAAAAGCAGGCTGCTGAGCACATTCCAACTTGGGTGACCCCGTTTTTTCAATTCACAGTTTGCATAGCAATATCGAGTTTCATAAAGTGGTTTGCCAGAGCAGCCAATTGAAATGCTTCTGGATAAACCAACCTGAGTCACATCACTGTAGGTATCAACAAGGATATCCCCGTGATTACGTGAGTCATAGAAACTTGTGGAGGGACCTTAGGGATTATCCACTCCAACCTTGATTTCAGGAAAAGAAGGCAAGGGCCATTGGGTGGTATCTTTTGTCAGTTGGCACACCTGTTGGGACTGTGTCTGGAATTCCAGACTTCCATATATGGCTCTATTGACTGTGCCCCAGCTTAGAAAGTCTATGCATTTCTTTTGTGGTGGGGATAGGCTTCCTTTGAGGGTTACCTGGTGTTTTAGCAAAATGCTGGGAATTTGATAAGCTCATTACATAATAATCCAGGCTGGCATTGATTTCACCTTTTTAACAGAGCTAGTAGCAGATCTAGAAGTGATAAATAAGGGTTAGAAAATGTGCTGTGATAAAATCTCGTAAGTCAACAAACCCCAGGCCATGTTTTGTTCAGGGTTCTGGATTTGGTTAGTAATTATTCTGGGAAATATTGACTTTCTCTGGGAAGTTTCCATGGGTATGAAGAGATACTCTGTCTTCAGGCATTGTGATATAAGAAGGAGAGGAGAGTGTGGTGTTAGGGAGAAAGGGAAAAGAAGTTGGCAGAACAGCCAGAAAGGAAACAGCACTGACAACTTGTGTCAGGAAACATATATCTTCTTTTTCACGGTTTTGTTATTTAAGCTGTTTCACATCATAAGGCTTCTTCTGGTAATAAGGAAATTGATTAGTCTAGGGTATTTAAAAATTATTTATGGGCGGGGGGGATGAACACTTCCATCTGCAATTTCACATCCTAAATGCCTGCAATAGCCAGGGCTGGGCCAGGCCAAATCTGGGATCATGGATCTCAGTCTAGGTCTTCCGCATAGATGGCAGGAACCAACCCCTGGAACCATCACATAACTACTGCCTCCCAGAGTCTGCATTAGCCAGAACCTGGAGTTGGGAGCTAGAGCTGGGTGTTGGACCCAGGCATCTTAACTGTGAAGCTAAACACTCACCCCTAATTTAGGGTATGCTGTATGACAAGCTATGGGTTCCAAAGGCCATTGATAGGTGACTGAGTAGCCTTCACTGTGCTACAAGTCAAGAGCATCAAGCAAATAATTTCTAACTGTTGAATCTCAGTTTATCAGTGTCACCAAGAGGTTCTCATCTAGCTGAAAAGTTCTAGATCATTCCTTGTGACAAGGTATCCTGTTCCTGAACTCATTCTGATTTAATCGTACACTCTGCCAACTGAATTAGTGGAGGATGCTGGTAGGAGTAGAGTCCAGAATTGCTGGGTGTGTTAGTTAACCCTTGACTCCCTGAGGATCTTCAATAGGAGGCTGCCTTTCTTCTACCAGAAACTGGTTAAGAGAATTTTACAGATTGGGGTGTATGGGATGTCCTGAATACATCTTGCCCAAATATTCTTTCATTCCCCATCTGGAAGCCTTGTGCTACAAGTAGCCAGCTCAGCGGCTGGCACTGTACAGCTGCCCTAGGAGTGTAGACTCCTTCCCTCTCACAGAATATCTCACCAGGTTAAGGTCTTGGGAAATATTTTTGGTTGAGGCAAGATCTTTGGTTTCCTGGAAACAAAATGGCCTTGGGACTTCATATATTGGCTCAGTGCTCCTTCCTTCCATTCTTTCTTCTTTTTAAAATGACTTATTTATTTGAAAGTCAGAGTTACACAGAGAGAGGAGAGGCAGAGAGAGAAAGAGAGGTCTTCCATCTGATGCTTCACTCCGCAATTGGTCTCAACGGCCGCAGCTGTGCCGATCCAAAGCCAGGAGCCAAGAGCTTCTTCCGGGTCTCCCACACGGGTGCAGGGGCCCAAGGACTTGGGCCATCTTCTACTGCTTTCCCAGGCCATAGCAGAGAGCTGGATCATAAGTGGAGCAGCCGGGTTTTGAACCGGCGCTTGTATGGAATGCCGCACTTCAGACCAAGGCATTAACCTGCTGCGCCACAGTGCCAGCCCCTCCATCACTTCTTTTTTGGTCCATCAATTGGCTTTTTCTGGCTGTTCTTCAGAATTGCCATTCCCTCAGGGTGCTTCCTCATGCTTTAGGGCTATTTTGTCTTTCCCATCTCTAAAACTGTGAGAACAGGGAGGACATCAGACTCGCGTGGATCATGACTTGCTGCCAGGACAGAGCTTCTATTCAGTGCAAGTCAAAATCCAGCCCCCAAACACCAGTGGGGCACCCTGTGAGTCACTGAAGCACAACAACACAGCAGCGAGTCTTCTTGCACAAACAAAAGTGCATTGAGCTTCAAAAATTCCTTCCAGGGCTGCAAATTAACCAATTTGCAGGCTACCATGGTTCAGTGCCATACCAATTCTTTACCTTTGAACTCCACTCTGCAACTTGATAATAGTCTTCCAGAACATTCAATGGACAGTGATATTAAAATGTATGTGGACCCTGTCAGTATTGTTTTGAACAAATGCACACTAGGGCTGGCATCATAAAAACTGAGAGAGTAAGACTACAATGTCCTGATGAGTGTGGAGGGCAGCATCCAGAATAGCCTCCATAGAAGTCTCACAGGCAACAGTGAGGGCACATGAGGAGTCAAAGAGCTTATCTAGCCTACTGCAAAAGGTAGCCTACCGGCCCCACCCAGACAGCAGCGATGCTGGCAGCACACTTCCCAAAAGTGGCACAAACTTTGAAAAGCCCATTTCAACCAGTAGTAAAATGGATGCATTGAGGAAGCCAACTGTAGTGGAACTTGAAAGTCAACAGAAGTCATATGGCCTCAACTTGGCCACTCAGAATGGACCAATGAGAAGCAGTGGGCAGGATGGGCCCTTTCACAGTACCAATAGCACTGGCAATGTCAGGACTGGGTTGTGGAAACATGAGAGCACTGTGTGGTGCTCCTGGGCTTCCTAGGCAGCAATTTATATGAACTGTGATATTCACATTCCTTTAAGCTATGAACATTTCAAAACAGACTGTTTACAGCCACCTTAGGAATTCAAAGCCATTTTGAATAAACTTCTAAGTAATGGATTTCATTTGTTTTGTATCCCCAAATTGTTGCCTTATTTTCCTCCCTTAGGGAATTTGCAGAAAACCTTGAAAGCCTTATTTTAGTTGACAAAGCCCCAATAGGACAATTTGGAAATCTGAAATGTAATTAATTAGACTCTGTAATATCTACTTAACATTTCAAACTTGCATTTAATATAATAAGTAGACATTTGTCATTGAAAAAAAAAGTCCGTAGGGTTTTAACTACTCTTCACATCACAGCCAGCGACTGTCTGCTTCTAAAGAATATGTTTAAAATAGTGAGGAGTGTGATCATAGTATACAAACTCAGTATGACAAGTCAAAGAAAAAGAGTAACTTTAAAGCTTCTTCCAGATACCAAGAATGATGAATTTTTTGCTTAGGAAAATACTGGATGGAGTATTTTTACTGGGTGGAATGATCTAGGAGAGAAGATGGAGATAAAATTATCAGATTGTTGAGGATTCTAAGATGGCAGAATAGGGAAAAGAGTTTACCGCTCTAGGCTAGAGGAAAATAGTAAAAAAAAAAAAAAAAAAAGTGGAGGAAGTACATTTTTAGGGGAGAGTTAGAGAAAAAAACTGCAGTGGAAATTCTACAGAAGGAAGAGAAACAGTGTGGATCTGTGTGAAAGGTGTGGACAGAACAACAGGCGTGGTATGAGTCTGGACTGGTACCCTAAGGGGGACACAGTACCTGCTAACCCAGTGAAAAAAGGGGCACATTTCTCTCTCTCCATTCCCCCAAAATGGCACCTGGCAACTGGCTGAAAGAGGGTGGGTGCTACTTTGGACGAAAGTAGAAGCTGAGGCAGTTCTTGTGTGCTTGCCCAGTAACTGGCTGGGACAAGATGCCATCTTGTCAGCAGTAGTGGTGGCAGCAGCTTGATGAGTGCACTCAGCAACGGGAGGAGAGAAGGTACTATTGTGAAACAAGCAGGGGCTTCGGCTGGTGGCTCTTGTGCATGTGTGTGATCCAGGGATTTCACCAGAGGGAAAATCTGTGTTCCCTGCAGACTTTCAGTCTGGCTGGGAGGATGGCCAGGGGGCTGGGCACTGACATAGGACTGTGAGATGCTCCCAGCCTTTCAACATATCACAGGCTCCAAGGCTCAAACTACCAAGGTGGAGCACCCAGAGGCAGTCTCTGCCTCTCTGTGGATGGGACAGGCCAGAGGGGATGGAGTGGATCCTCTTCACCTGTGACTGTGGGAGCCTGGTGCTGAGACTGTGGGAACTCAGGGACTGTGTGAGAGGGCACAGGGTATAGTTGGGTCTCTGGGCAATCACTGGTGCCCATATGGGATGCCGGCGCTTCAGACTGGGGCTTTAACCCACTATGCAACAGCGCTGGTCCCAGGAGATAGTAGTCTAAAATCTCCCTTCCCACGGCGCCTCACATTTGATCATTCAAATTTTTTTCCTTTGGATGAAGTATTGTCCTTCCACCACAATTACTACTTAAAATGTAGATGCTTCTGGAATATGTTAAGCCATCTATTCATTTTATTTTTTTAAAGATTTATTTATTTACTTGAAAGGAAGAGTTACAGAGGGAGAGAGAGTGAGACAGAGAGAGACTGAGAGGTCTTCCACTCGCTGGTTCACTGTCCAAATAGCTGCAACAGCCAGAGCCGGGCCAGGCTGAAGCCAGGAGCCAGGAGCATCTTCCCCCTACCACCGCATGGTGCACGGCCCCATGTTCCGCTGCTTTCCCAGGCACAGAGCTGAATTGGAAGTGGAGCAGCCCCGACTGGAACTAGCAACCCATACGGGACGCCAGTGTAGATGGCAGCTTAGCCTGCTATGCTACAGCCTTGACCCCTTCTATTTCTTTTCCTGTCCATTTTCCTTCCTGACAGGGATAGTTGAAATCGAGATACGGAAGAAAACACAGATTTTAGAAAGTCTTTTTTTTTTGCTTCGATTAGTTTCATGGGGAGTTTCCAGTGAGGACCAGGAATGAGTCCTCCAGGGCACGTACCCGAGACAGGCATTGAGTCAGGGGAGCTAAGTTCATCACGGAGGTGAGAGGCCAAAGCCCTGGTACTCAGGCACTGAATACCGCCTCTGTTTCCTCCCCATATACCACTGGGTATGTCGGCCAAGCACGTCGGAAACGCCGAGTTCCCGGCAGAGCGCCTCAGGCTGCAGCGTGAGTCACAGGGAGGCGCTCTCCGCGGGCAGCGGGAAACGTGCGCCACGGGCCGTTCCTAAACAACCCGCCTAGTTACCAACGCCTTCCAGCTGCAGGTGGCGGTCGGCCCTCAGACTCCGGGGGCTCCGCACGGTGTCGCCCTCAACCAGAGATGAGGAGGAAGCCAGGTTTGGGGGCACGGGAGGTCACCCGCCTGGAAAAGCACCAAGGGGCCCGGGAGCTCCGCGCCGCGCCCCTCACTCGAGACCGGGCACTCGGTGCTGAGAATGGTGGGTGTTGAAACTGCCAGAACCGGGGGTTGTTTGGATTTTTCCGGCTTTTCTGTGAGAAAAATGACCCCTCGGAGGGCACATCTGAGGCGCAGTCCGGGAAACACCCAGGAGCCGAGCGCCATCTGCTGCTTCGCCGCAGGACTGGAGTAGTGGCGGCGTCTTTAAGGTGACAGACCGGTTTTTCTCAAGCCGGGGTCCATGGGTTACTGTCCATTTGTGTGTGTGTGTGTGTGTGTGTGTGTGAGGTTTTTTTCTTTCTTTAAAAATTGCCTTTTCCCACAGAAAAGATCTGAGGCACAAATTCATAATGTGCTACGTCCATCAGTAAGGTAACAGAAGTGAATAACAAAGGAGGGACACCTTGCAGGTGGGGACCAGCTTCGTTATCGGGGTATCAGCCTGTCAAACCCTTGCCACATAGTAGGTACCCACGAAAACATGCTCAGTCCATCACCGAGGGGGCAATTTCAGGCCCTTCTCATTTAGTTGAAGAAATGTACCCCAACCCTGGCCACGCATCTTTTCGGGTGGTGAGTGATGGGATTCTTTTGTTCCCATGGAAACAGACATCCCTGGGCAAGGGAGAAACACACTTTTAACAGCCAAATTCCAGCCTGGTGTTTTTCTAGAGGTAGGCTTGAATTTTCTTTTTTAAAAGTTAGTTAAGGAATATAAAGAGATGAGAGCATTTAAGATGTGGGACGGAATGTTAAGAGATCCACGTTTGGTTCCTATCTGTAATACCCAGAATTGGAATTAGAGGCAGATACTCTTGTTGAGCAATGGAAGAGTAATAGACCCTAATTTTATCAGTTTGGCTAGGGCAGAGTTCCTGAGATCCACCACTAGGCCTCTGTAACTACAGAATCCACCACTAGGCCTCTGTAACTACAGAATCAGCACCAGCTGGTTTGACTTTGTCAGTAACAGGATGTCAAATTGTCTTGTGGATAATAGCAGCTGCAAGTCATGTAACCTGGGCACGTGCAGAGGAGGAAGACCAGTGTTCTCTCCTTGTGGAAAAAGGAGACTAGGACCCTTTTAGAAACGAGAGCTCCATTGACCAGGAAGATCTGGTAATACAACCATAAAAACTTGCCCCAGATGCCAGATTGACAGAACAGATTTGAGCCTTCCCTCCTGTCTCCTGGCTGGTTGACCTCACAACCAACCACTTCAAAAACGTGTGTGACAGTAATTGGTTACCATGTATCTTTGGCAGTGGGCCCTTGCTCTGTATCCCCTCTAAGGCTGACCTACAAGAGAGACACTTGGAAACACATACTCCTGCTCTCTCTTGTTCTTGCTAGCCCTATGGCTAAGACATCACCTGGTGTCCCTCATACTAAATTTCACCTGGCTGCTTGCTGTGGGCTGTGATCAGAGCATGCATTCTGAGCCTTTCTGTTGGGAAAGGGGAGTCAATCTAATGAAGCAGTCTACAGAGCTGAAATAAGAGTGATAGTATTTCCCCTTTATTTCTACTCTATTTTTACACTGGCTTCTAGCAACACTTATGTGCACAAAAATGTATCTAAGTCAAAATACGGTTTACCATGAGACTATTTAAAGGCATCTATAGATAACTGTTTTTAAAAGCAAAGATTTCTTTTTTTTTTTTTTGCAAAGTAAGTCATAATAATTCAATTGATAATCTGAGGTAGGATATGTTCCTTATAGGGCTTTGTTGTTAAATATATATGTTTAAAGGGATAGTTCTTGATCAAGACATGGATTGGCTGGTGTTTACTGAGGCAAAATGTGCATTCCTTATATAAAATTATCAATCATGAATGGTTTCCAGATCAACTCTCCAAAATAAATTAAATCCACAAAATAGATGAAATAATAAATTAATAACTGAAGTGAGTAAGAATACTGATAGGCTATTATAAATTACCAAGGAGACACAATATTCAATAGAAACATTCTTTTCATAATCATTAAGATGCTTGAGTAAATGCAGTGTTGGTGAAACATAAAGTAGAAACTTGTAAAGCTTGAAGGAGTCCAAAAATTTGAGACTTTGCACTGTTTCTTGAGTCTAATTCAATATAAAATGTAACTTTGCTCTGAGTAGATGTACATAGTAACTTTCTCTTACTAGTTAGGCAACAGAGGGAATAAGAAGAGATTTTCCTGGCCTAAGTGGGTGAGATCTAAAAGATAAGGATGGAGAAATAGAGATGAAAAAATATGTATGAGTATGAAAAAGAGATATATTGGCCTGTCACTAGATTATTGACCTGAAAGTAGACAAACTAAGAAAATCAGCTTACCTGATTCTTGAAGGAAGGGAATCTATATCCACTGGATTTTCCATATTGTCTGACAGTTATATATGTTAAAAGTGAATAACTTTTTGCGTTTCTACTGACTTTTGAAAAATCATTTGAAAAGTTTTTTTTTTTTTTTTCCATGCAGTAACATGATAAAGGTGGTTGGGAAAGGAGTTTTAATTCAGGAATTTTATTTAAAATCAAAATTCAGACCTATTCCACACCCACCTCTGAAGTTACCCTTTTTGATTATTTTCGCAGTGAAGCACCTGACTTGGGCTTTGCAGGATGACATCCCATAGAATCCCATGGCAACGAGCTCTTCATGGCAAGGACTCAGCTGGCTCTTACTCTCTCTGTGTGGAACAGGCAGGCAGCTGTGAGTCATCAAACACACAGTGGGGTCATTTGGAAATGCTCTTCACTGGGATGAGAAATGCACGTGAGTGTTTATTGATTTCTTCACTTCAATGAGAGATAAAGAAGCACCATCAAGTGATGGGATGGCCCTTAGAGCTAGTCCAAGGACCACCAGCATGAATACCCCTCAGAAACTTGTCAGCTCCTCCCCAGACCCACTAGATCAGAACCTTTGGAAGGAGGGCTCAGGAATCAGGGTTTGTGGTGTAAGCTCAAGTTTGAGAACCACTGAGCAATATGTGGGTGAGGTCAGGAGAACAGAGAAGGAGCCTAGAGAAAGAAGCCAGGGAAGGCCGACTCTCTCCAAAGCACTGGTTTTATTGTATGGTTGAAGACAATCTGATAGGAGCGTGAAGGATCATCTTCCTTAGGGTTAGGAGACAAACTAAGTGCAGTCTTGGGGTAGTGAAAAGGGTGGGAGATTACTATAGACTTTCACTTGGGGTTGAAACTGAAAGGGTTAATTGGCCCTGCAGTCCTTTCACAAAATGTAAACATCATCCAGGAGAGCTCTGAAAACCAAGAATTTTTATTGTAAATTTGGCATCAGAAATTATCAGAATCAAAACCTATCTGGGTTTCACTTGAGCCTATTTATACTCATTATATTTATTGCACTTAGAATGAGCATTCATTTTTACTTTGAGAGTAATACATTTGGGTCCCAGGCCCTGTTAGAAGTCTTTATTTAAAAATTTTAAAAAGACATTTATTTATATCTCATTAATTCTAATGTTAATGTGATATTAACACACAGAGAACATATTCAGTGTACTTCATAGATACAATTCTAAGAATATAAGGATACTTACTTCCCTTCCTCCCATGCTTCCTCCTCCTTTCCCCCCTCCTCTCTCTTTCTTTCTCTCATTTCTTTTCTTGTTAATTTTGAGATAACTTTTTAAAAAAGATTTATTTATTTATTTGAAAGGCAGAGTTACAGAAAGGCAGAGGTGGAGAGAGAAAGAGGACTTCCATCTGCTGGTTCACTTTCCAAATGGCTGCAACAGTTGGAGCTGGGCAGATCTGAAGCCAGGAGCCAGGAGCTTCTTCTGGGTCTTCCACACAGGCACAAGGACCCAAGGATCTGGGCCATCTTCTACTGCTTTCACAGGCCATAGCAGAGAGCTGGATCTGAAGTGGAGCAGCCGGCACTAGAACTGGTGCCCATATGCAATGCTGGTCTTACCTGCTACATCACAGCACTGGCCTCAAGGTAACATTTTTAATTTACATTATAGTGAAAGGCTTAATGCTTCACCAAATAAAGAGTTCAGCAAGCAAAAAGTAAAATTATAGGTTAGTAGGAATATAGGCAAGGGGTATAAATAATAATCAAATGAAAAGATATCCATTTAACTAATATTTAGTAAATTTTAAAATAATCACAAACCATGAAAACTATATTAGTGTATCTATCAATATATTAACTACTGCAAATAAGAGAAAACATTTTTCTTATTGAGTGACTTATTTCACTTAGTATGATGATCTTCAGTTGCATACATTTTATTGCAAATGTCTGTATTTCATTCCTTTTTATGGCTGAATAATATTCCATCATGTAAATATGCCATATTTTCCTTATTCAGTCATCAACTGATGGATGTCTAGGTTGACTCCATATCTTAGCTATTGTGAATTGAGTTGCTATAAACATGGAAGTGCAAGTAACTTTTTTCATATGCTGCTTTTGTTTCCTTTGGATATATTCCCTGGAGTGGGATAGCTGAGTTGTAGGGTAGATCTATTTTTCTGTGGCATCTCTGTACTATCTTCCATAACAGCTGTACTGTTTACATTCCCATCAATGGTATATAATTAGGGTACTTTTTTCATATTCTTGTCAGCATTTATTTTTTGATTTTTGGATGATAGCCATTCTAACTAGGATGAGTTGATACTTCAATGTGGTTTTGTTTACATTTCCCTGATGGCTTGTGATCCTGGGCAGTTTTTTATGTGTTAGGCATTTGTATTTCCTCCTCTGAAGAATGCTTTTTCATAACCTTTGCCCATTTCTTAACTGGGTTGTTTGTTTTGTTGTTGAGCTTCCTGAACTCCTTATATTTTCTGGATATTAATCCTTTACCATAGCTTGCAAATGTTTTCTCCCATTCTGTTGGTTGATTGATTCCTTTGCTGTACAGAAGTTTCTTAGCTTGATATAATCAAATTTGTCTATTTTTGCTTTTGTTACTTCTATTTCTGGGGTCTTATCCAAGAAGTCACTGCCTAGGCCAATGTCTTACAGTAATTCTCCTATATTTTCCTCTGGTAATTTGGTGGTTTCAGATCTTAGGTTTAGATATTTGATCACCTGTGAGTTGATTTTTTTAAAAGATTTTATTTATTTATTTGACAGTAGAGTTACGACAGTGAGAGAGAGAGAGACAAAGAGAAAGATCTTCCTTCTGTTGGTTCATTCCCCAAATGGCTGCAACGGCCGCAGCTGTGCCTATCCGAAGCCAGGAGCCAGGAACTTCTTCTGGGTCTTCCATGTGGGTGCAGGGGCCCAAGCACTTGGGCCATCTTCTACTGCTTTCCCAGGCCATAGCAGAGAGCTGGACTGGAAGAAGAGCAACCGGGACTAGAACCGGCGACCATATGGGATGCTGGTGCCGCAGATGGAGGATTAATCTAGTGTGCCACGGCACTGGCCCCTGTGAGTTGATTTTTGTAGAGTGCAAGGTAGGGTGTTTTTAAAACTTTTGTTTGTGGAAATCCAATTTTTCCAATACCTTTTGTTGAAGAGACCTTCTTTTCTTTAGGGAGCAATTTTAGGTCCTATGTCAAAAATTGCTTGATTGTAGATACATAGATTAATTCCTGGGGTTTCTAATTTGTTCCATTGGTCCACATGATCATTTTTTTTTCTAGTACCAGACTGTTATCATTATAACATCCCTGCAGTATGTCCTTAAATCTGAAGTTGTGATGCTTCTGATTTTGTTTTTATTGTTTAAGATTGCTTTACCTATTTGGGATCTTCTGTGTTTCCATATAAATTTCAGGATTGTTTTTTCTAGATCTGTGAAGAATGTCCTTGATGTTTGATTGGGATTGCATTGAATCTGTAAATTGCTTTGGATAATATGAACATTTTGATGATATTAATTCATTTTAATTAATTTCATGAACGTGGAAGATTCCTCTGTATTTTGTGTCATTTTCTATTTATTTCATCAATGTTTTCTAACTTTAGGGATTTTCACATCCTTTCTTAAATTTATTTCAAAGTATTTAGATTTTTTTGTAGCTGTTATGAAGAGGACTGATCTTATACATTCTTTCTCAGCCAGAGGATTATTGATATATGAGGATGCTATTGATTTTTTGTGTGTTGATTTTGTATCCTGAAATTTTGCCAAATTCTCTTATAATATTCTCTAAGTGGAGTCTTTTGGTTCCATTATATAAAGGAGCATGTCATCTGCAAACAGGGGTAATTTGACTTCTACCTTTCCAGTTTATATCCCTTTGATTTCTTTTTCTTGCCAAGTGGCTCTGGCTAAAACTTCCATAACTGTATTGAATAATAATGGTGAGAGTGGGCATCCTTCTGTGGTTCCAGATTTTAGTTGGAATGTTTCCAGCTTTTCTCCATTCAGAATGATGTTGGTTGTGGGTTTGTCATATATTGCCTTAATTGTGTTGAGGTATGTTCCTTTTATATCTTTTTTAAAGTATCTTTTAATCATGAAAAGATATTTTATTAAATGTTTCTCTGTATCTTGAACTAATCATATGTTTTTTTTTATCATTCATTTGTGAATGATATATCACATTTATGTTGACCTTCTCTGCATCCCTGGGACAAATCTCACTTGGCTTGGGTAGATGATCTTTTTGATGTGTTGTTGCATTTGATTTTCTAGTTTCTTATTTTTTTGTTGAGGATTTTTACGTCTGTCTTTACCAGGGATATTGATCTTTAGTTATCTGTTTTTGTTGTATCTGTCAGATTTTGGAATTAAGGTAATACTAGCCTTATTGAATGAGTTTAGAAGGGTTCCCTCCATTTCAATGGTTTTGAATAACTTAAGAAGAATTGAGATTAGTTTTTCCTTAAAAGTTTTGTAGAATTCAGCTGTGAAGTCATCTTCTCCTGGGCTTTTCTTTGTTGAGAGGCTCTTCATTTCTGTTTCAATCTCAAGTTTGATTATTGGTCTATTCAGATTTTTATATCTTTGTGATTCAATTGTGGTAATTGTATGTGTCCTGAAATCTATCCATTTATATATAGCTATATACCAACAAATTGGAAAATTTATTTCTGTGGTATCAGTTTTATAACATCTCCTTTTTTCATTCTGATTTTGTTAATTTTGGTCTCCTCTCCCCTTTTTTGGTTAGTTGGGCCAATGGGTTTTCAATTTTGTATAATTTTTTTTTCAAAAAACAAGATCTGCATTTCACTGATCTTTTGTGTAGCTTATTTTTTTTTCTATTTTGTTATTTTTCTCTAATTTTTATTATTTCTTTCCTCCTATGCATTTTGGGTTTGGTTTGTTCTTGTTTTTCTAGGTCCTTGAGCTGCATTGTTAGATCATTTATTTAGTACCTTTCTAATGTTTTTTAATGTTGGCACTCACTGCTGTAAACTTTCCTCTTAACACTGCCTTTACTGTGTTCTATAAGTTTTGATATGTGTGTTTTCACATATAGTCTGCCGATTATATGATCATAAGATTAAATACAAATTTCTTAAATCTGTGCTTGACAAATTGGAAGTTTAAGAAAATTAGCTTTTACATTTTTTATTGATATAGCATAAGGAATTTTCTCTCCCTCTTTTTCTTGAAGTGTTCTACCATAAACATTCTGCAGGACTGAAAATCCTCCTCTAGAAATAAAAGGAATTTGGAGGTTCTGCAAGCCTCAATGGGTAGAACTGGTGCCTACCTGGAGGCCAGACAGCCATAGATGAATGTGGTTGTCCTGGGGCCGGCCCTGTGGCTTGGTGGGTTAAAGCCCTGGCCTAAAGCGCCAGCATCCCTTATGGGTGCCGGTTCTAGTCCCAGCTGCTCCTCTTCCGATCCAGCTCTCTGTAGTGGCCTGGGAAAGCAGTAGAAGATGGCCCAAGTCCTTGGGCCCCTGTACCTGCATGGGAGACCCAGAGGAAGCTCCTGGCTCCTGGCTTTGGATCAGCTCCTGCCATTGTGGCCATATGGGGAGTGTACCAGCAGATGGAAGACCTCTCTCTCTGTCTCTACCTCTCTGTAACTTTGTCTTTCAAATAAATAAAATAAATCTTTAAAAAGTGTGGTTGTCCTGGGAGAGAAGGAGGAAAATCAAAGAGGTGGGGGAATTTGCAGGTAGATACCTGAAATGGATGAGGTACTGAAAACCTCTGGGTACATATTTGATTACATTCTTCATAATATATTTCTAAAAAGAAAATTGTTGGATCACAGAGTATCAATCATTTTAGAGCACTTTTTTTTTTAGAAAGTTTTTGTTTAATATATATAAATTTCATAGGTACAGCTTTTGGATTATAGTGGTTCTTCCCCCATACCCATCCTCCCACCCCCATTCCCATACCACTTCCTACTCCCTCTCCCATCCCATTCTTCATTAAGGTTCATTTTTAATTATCTTTATATACAGAAGGGCAACTCTATACTAAGTAAAGATTTCAACAGTTTGTACCCACACAGACGCAGAATAATAGTTTTACTGTTAATTCTCATAGTGCAACTCATTAAAGAGAGAGGTCCTACATGGGGAGCAGGTACACAGTGACTGCTGTTGTTGATTTAACAATTGACACTCTTATTTATGACATCAGTGATCACCCAAGGCTCCTGGATAGAGCATTAATTTTCTCAAATCATCTTTGGGCCATACTCCCAAGCCATGTTTGGAACTATGCTGAAAAATTGAAAATGTATGAAGGGTGCCTTGCTATCAGGTTACAAGATCACGACTCTTTCATCTGTATCATGTACCACACCCCCATTTAATACAAAGTAACATTAAGAAGTTCAATGAAGAGAAATCCTCCCATTTATATTCCTTGCTTTTAAAAGATATCTTATAAAAATAATAGATGATATAAACTATTGTAACAGACAAATGCCAACCTTGTTGGGATTGGTGTGCACATGAAATGTTTTCAAGTGAACTACTTAAAATGATTCTCTTCCTTGTTGGCTGGCAGATGCCATACACTGCATTTCAGTCTGCTTGCATGCATTTTTGACTGTCTGG